TGTTGTTGTTGTTGGTTCTCTTGCGTAGTGTTTCTTTTGCGTGTCTGCATGTGCGTGCGTGAGTGAGTGCGCGTAGGTATTTATACATACACATATACAGATTTTTCCTTTTCGGGGAGAGACATAAAAATTACAAATAATTATACGTACTATGCGTTTTATTAGATCAACATATGTTATATGTCTTCAAACATATAATTCTTCACAAATGGTATTAAATTCACACGATTGTATAACGGTCACACATTAGGTAGAGTAATACTCATTAGAAATACAAAAATATCACCATCAGGTTGTATAACATAAGAGGTTTCACGGCTTTCACATGCAATTCCTAGTTTAGCTTACAATCTGGAAAGAAGCTGTAACAGTTGAGTTGCATTCGTTGGAATTCCACATTGCTCCAGCTCACATGTGTACTGTGTGCTCGCGTTTTCTCAGAGCCAATCTGCTATTACATGTGACTCTGACAGTTCGAGATATACTTTCTGCATACATCTGTACGACATCTCTCTAGAATTACCATACATTGTTGTGTGTGGTTATAGAGTGTCTTCAGAGAGTAAGCTTCACTTTAAATGTTTTCATGTTACATTTAAATAATTTCTCCCTTCGTCTTTTTCTTCTTTCGTTTTTCTCCCACGTGCGTTTTCATATGTCTCTTCACACTACTCAGACGGGAGAAGGCAGCATCACACAGATCGCACTTATACGGTTTCTCTCCCGTGTGAGTTCTCATGTGTGTCTTCACACTACTCAGACGGGAGAAGGCAGCATCACACAGATCGCACTTATACGGTTTCTCTCCCGTGTGAGTTCTAATGTGTACCTTCATATGACCCGACTGCGAGAAGGCAGCATCACACAGATCGCACTTGTACGGTTTTTCTCCCGTGTGAGTTCTCATGTGTGTCTTCACATCACTCAGGTAAGAGAAGGCAGCATTACACAGATCGCACTTGTACGGTTTCTCTCCCGTGTGAGTTCTCATATGTGTCTTCACATTACTCAGACAAGAGAAGGCAGCATCACATAGATCGCACTTATACGGTTTCTCCCCCGTGTGCGTTCTCAAGTGTGTCTTCACACTACTTAGGCAGGAGAATGCGGATTCACACAGATAGCACTTATACGGTTTCTCTCCCGTGTGAGTTCTCATGTGTTTCTTCATATGACCCGACTGCGAGAAGGTAGCATCACACAGATCGCACTTATACGGTTTCTCTCCCGTGTGCGTTCTCATGTGTTTCTTCATATGACCCGACTGCGAGAAGGTAGCATCACACAGATCGCACTTATACGGTTTCTCTCCCGTGTGAGTTCTCATGTGTTTCTTCATATGACCCGACTGCGAAAAGGTAGCATCACACAGATCGCACTTATACGGTTTCTCTCCCGTGTGAGTTCTCATGTGTTTCTTCATATGACCCGACTGCGAAAAGGTAGCATCACACAGATCGCACTTATACGGTTTCTCTCCCGTGTGAGTTCTCATGTGTTTCTTCATATGACCCGACTGCGAGAAGGTAGCATCACACAGATCGCACTTATACGGTTTCTCTCCCGTGTGAATTCTCATGTGTGTCTTTAAATTACCTGATCGGGTAAAAGCAGCATCACACAGATCGCACTTATATGGTTTCTCTCCCGT